CCCCAGTTAAGACTAAATGAGATTGTTAGAAAGAGGAAGTGTTTGGTCAGATCGATAGGGCTCTAACCAAACTGGTTCAACAGAGGAAGACTAGTAGTTCTAAGTTCTAACCCTTCACTTGCAAGCTGATGAAGCATTTGGTAGACACAAGACTTAACTATTTAGATGGTCTCTGGAGATAACAAACAACCTCTTTGCGTTGAAACAGAAGAACACAGCCACTGCATCGGCAAATAAAAAAGGTTTATACATGATTGAATTGGAACAGCAACAAAACGATTTGGAAATGTTTTAAAAACTGTTGTGACTATATTGATCTGTTCTGAAGTTTTGAAACATATGGGTAGTAACTTCTTTTCGCACTTCTGTTTCTTTCATTGTTGATACCCTTGAAAATTAAATGAGCATAGACTCTTACGAGGCAAAAACTCTTGAATTTGAAATCACTTCAGGTAGTGAATTTGCGTATGATTCTGACGAATATTGTATAGAGGCCATAAGAAGGAAGATGCAGGAGTGCTACCAACAAATACCTGCAGATGCATGGATTAAACTATTACAGATCGGCAAAATCAGTCTAGGGAATGAAGCATTTGATATAACAAAATATTTTCATTCTTTTTCTCTATAAATGTAAATGTTTTGAAGGCTTACCACACTGGAGCCATTTGGTACGACAGGTCGAGAAATGGATATGGCCATCTAAATCAATCAAGGAATAGAAATGTAAAACAGATCAAGAACTTAGTGTAAGATATTAAAGATGACAAAGAACGAGGACAAAGAAGAATTTTTACCCGACAGAGATAAAAACATGGAGAATCCACTGGAAAATAACGAAACTTCCTGTCCACAAGATGAAGTACGCAAACCTGAACAAGGGAAATCTCTGCAAAGCAACACCAAAAAAAAAACCTTCAAGTTGATGCATTGATGGAATGCAAATGTCTCGTAACATCTTATATGCAGGAAGAGGAAAAAAAAGTGATTTTACCAGACGGTTAAGAGCCGTGTCACAAAGCAGCAAAACGAGGTTACTCGTGTGCAAATTCACAGTCATCTGAAACACACAAGTTTGCACTAGAAACGTTGAGACTCGGTTTTTCAAGAGTGTCAAACTTGATAAACATAAATTTAAAGCAAGTCTAACTTATGCAACATAGAAAGTGCCGTCCACAAGCTTCTACTATTATATGGTAAGAAAAATTCTTGATTAGATGGAGCGAAACTTACAAAACTCATCTCGTAGTCCTGTAAAGACAAAAATGGGAAAATCACAGTCCAATATATACTGTCTGTAAGCACAGCTGCTCCAGCACTCATCTATATTTCAACAAACCAAAACGCACGAGTACCAAAAGAGTGTCAGTGATCAATAATGCACTAATGAAGCTATAATAAAAAATCTGAAAGTTACAAATTAGGCATATCCAAAAGATTTGTGTCTACCTGAAATATAATCTGAAAGAGACAGACACAGGACCGTAGCATCTTCGAATCCGAAGTATTTCTCTTCTCGACCGAAACCATGTTCTCCCCATTTATAAGAGGCGAACGAAATCCGTTCTCTGCATCATTTCCTACTTGCTCAGCCGCTAGTCGCTTCTTGTGTTGAAAACACCCATAAATTGAAAACAATGATCCCATCTACAAAATACACATTTGATTAATGATATTCAAAACAAACACATTCATCATCACTGTCTGATTACAAAATATAACATATTCACAACATGGACATCACTGTCTGATTATAAAACATAACATGGAGATCAAATTATACCCCAAAATAGATAGCTATCAACGTGAATGTCCACCTGCCAACACAATAGACACCGAATCAAAACCCGAAACAAACAATCATCACATGAACCATATCAAGAATTAAACTACATAACTAAAACTCATTAATGATCTTCAATAATGAGGGGCTTACTGAGTGTAATAGTAGTAAATGCGCAATCCACGAAAAGAAAGCCGGACAATGTTGCTAGTAAGAAGGAAGCAAAACCCGAGAACCCGAAAACCGAGTAACCAACCGGGATGGATTTGTTTAAGACAAGGTTTCCAAACATCATCAATGCATAGAACATCATGTTCACTAAAACCAGAATCATTAGTACCATTTTGAGGTTGAGTTTCAACTACTGTACTATCTTCGTACTTCCATATAACGAACAAAGCAACAATCATAGGAGTAAATACCCATAACGCACAAAGAAACACTCTCCAATTAAACCAATAATCAAAGCTGGTTATATCCAAAACATTCTGAAATTTCATTTTCTTTCTCCTTTCCAATAAAGTTGATCCGTCTGAATCTTCGGATCTTCTTCAGATCCGAAACTCAATGGATCAACAACGACTTGAGAAGAAACCAGATCAGCACCGATTTACCTATATAGAGAGATACAGAGCTTTCAAGAGTTATGGTATATTCTTCACGGAATTAGAATGATTGTGAAATGCTTAACACTTACGTTTTCTTGTGCGTTATCGTGTGGAGAAGTCAAATTGAAACTCTGAAGCTATGAGATTTGGTAATAAAATTCGCAGAAGCATTTGATGACGGTGAGCCACAGAAACCGAGAAGCCCGAGAACAAGAAGAACAGAGTGGAGAGCAAGGACAGGTGGGGCCTCTTCCGTTGATTTCAACATTTTGATAAAGAAAATACACGTGCTTATCTACAAGGGTCATATATATTTTTAACTACATTTATGGTTATGTCTAAAATTGAAATTAATGGTGTGATTTGGTTGGGTTCGAGTTTTTTTTTTTTTAAGTTTTTTGGGTTTTGAAAACGGATTTTATCCAGAACCAAATTCTATTTCGGATTTTGTTTTTGGCTTTAAAAATTGGGTTTTAGACAACAACAAAAAATAACAAAAATTGATAAATATTGTAAGTTGAAGTGAAAGGAGATTATGTGAAAGTTTTTTTTTTTGGCTT